ACACCTGTCTGTCTGTCAGCACACCTGTCTGTCTCTCAGTACACCTGAATGACACTGAGGTGCTTTGAGCTAACTGCTAAACGTTTTTTTACATTTCCAGTCACAAACAGTTCAGTGTCACAAAAACAGAGTTATAGTAAACAGGAAGCAGCATGGTGACCATTAACCCTCCCTAAGCCCCGCCCCCTTTTATCTGTGCTCCAATCACAGTTGAGCAAACCTCATTTAACTTCCTTTCCTGTACTTAGATATGCTACGTGCTAAGCTAATCTATGTTGAAAAGACAAACACATTTTGAAAATGGTTCAAAGATAAAAGACGCATTTCGTTAGTTAGCTAATTACATCTAAAAACTAAAAAAAGTAGTTAGTTAATCAATCAATCAATCGTAAAGATAGTTTGCCTACGTTTTGCTAAAATTAGGTTTCAAATTGAACTAGTTAGCTAATGATTGGTTAGCTCGTTTAGTTAGTTTTGCTTTGTAGCAATATTCTAACTAACTGACTAACTGACTAACAACTGACGTCGAAGAGCTAGTGGTCCGAACAAATACACAAAGATTTAAAACTTCAACTTTAAAAACACAAATCCACCATAAATAAAATATCTTTATTAAATTAAACATGGTAAATAAATCGTGGTATCGTCAATCAAACTTTATTTGTATAGCACCGTTCATACAGTTCAAAGAGCTTCACAGGCGACTGACAGCACGAGCGTAAAAAACAGAATAAAAACGAGATCAAATAGATTAAAAAGACAAAACAAAGATAAAAAAGAGAATAAAAGTAGATTTATAACTACGTGAAAGTCTTCATGACTCTTAATATAAACTCTCTGACTTCCTGTTGGTGTCCAGGTACTACAGCACTCTGCTGCAGACGCTGCAGGCGTGCGACGAAGAGACGGTGGCGGCGGTGCGGACCGGTCTCGTGGCCCGGTTGGGCCCCGACATGGAGACCTTCCTGCAGCTGGTCCAGAACAAACCCTGCGCCGCCGGCTCCGGCTCCGGCTCCACCGCCTTCAACAACCCCTCCAGCTGGAGAAACATGCCCGTGTTCAACATCCAGCCCGGCTTCAGGGGCCGCGACCCGACCCACCTGTTCGCCAGGAAGAGGTCCGTGGACGGCATGGAGGGAGGAGTCAGAGCCCAGAACTAAAACACTGCACACTGATGCTAAGCTACAATGATTTCCTTCTGTAGAAAAAGCTTTAGATGGTGATTCGGGGTAAATATATTATTATTATTATTTGGGTGATTGCTTCACTGAGCAGTCTGTGTTACAGATGTTTGAGGCCTATTACAGTGATATTTATTTTCTTAAAGTTAATTTATGAGGCTGTTATATTTAATTAGAGAGAGGGAACGAGGCTGCGGAGGTCAGTAGAAGCTCTCGCGCTGGTCGTGGAGCTCTTCCGGCTCCTGTCGGGGGCAGAGATCACTTTATTAGTTTAAATGAGAGGTTACTGTCTGTTTGCTGGTTTGTGTTAGAAATAAAAAAAATGTTATCTGACGGATTTTGGCTCCTGTGATTCTCTCGATGACGTCTGCACTGTAAAACAGATTCATGGGCGGATTTTAAAACAACATTATAATCGTCACTCGTGGACAAAACAAATTCTAACTCAGAGTCTTTAACTGAAGCTTTCAACCTCATCTGATGGTCTTCATCATCATCAGCAGACAGAACAGCTCCATTCACTGATGAAGACCATGAGAGGGACAACAGTAAGTGGACATTGAGCAGCGCACTGTAAAAAATAAAGTTAAGAAAACTCTTATTTTAAGGCAACTGTCTTCACAAAATTTGAACGTTTTAAGTCAAACTCGCCGACTCTAAATCTTTTGAGAATATTGGCCAGATTGAAATTGAAGGTATGAAATTATCAACAGTTTTTTTCACCTTAATTTAACAATTGTTTCTAAAACTTAAAGATTTAAGGTTTTCTAAAGAAGAAAAGTTATTAATCATTATTAATTATTATTAGTAGTTTATTAAAAAAACTAAAAAATTAAAAAGAGGTTGTCTTTAAAATCTAGCAGTTTTCTTAACTCTGTTTTTACAGTGCAGGAATTATTCTGATACAGATAAAGAAATATTTTTGGCTGATGTCACAGCAGCTTTGTGATGCAGAGAAAGTGAAAATTAAAATTCAGAATTAAATTCATTAAAAATCATCAGCAACTTGTTCCAGAGAGAATAAAAACACGACTTGGTGACATATGGCTCAACGTTTTGGGACTGCTGCGATTGGTTGGTTGTATTTGGATGAATTGCGTTAATTGTTGTATCTGGAGGGGTTGAATACTGTAAAATATATTTAATAGAAATATGTTAAAAAATAGAATGATAATATTGTAGTTTTTTATAGTGATATAACAGGTAAACAAGTGTTTTATCGTTCTTTCGAAGATGTGTACGAAATGTGAGCTGATGGAGGCGATGGAGGGTAACCGGAGGGACAGACAGACAGACAGACAGAGGGACAGACAGACAGACAGACAGACAGACAGACAGACAGACAGACAGACAGACAGAGGGACAGAGGGA